GTGGCCATGGCTCACGGGCCCAACCGCTCCGCGGCATGTGGGATCTTCCCGGACCGGGGCACGAACCCGTGTCCCCTGCATCGGCAGGCGGACTCTCAACCACTGCACCACCAGGGAAGCCCCAGACAGGGTACTCTTAATATTCATTTTTTAAGCGTAGAATCTGTTCAGTGAGTGTAAATAAGCATCACAGATACCTTCAATAAGGCACAAACACCTAAAATTCTAATTCCTACAGTGTAAGGAAAATGACCCCCAGCGTCTTAGCATCTGTTTGCCTTTCATTGGCTCATAATAATTCTTGCTGTGTTTTGCTGCAGATTAAAGCTGTTTAGTCGTTCATTGGACTGTTCCCTTTCCTAGCTTTGCCTCTCTTCTCACCTCTTCCTTCAGGAGACTTAGGATCCTTTTAATGATATCACATACATGTCCATGGCTGCAGCTCCAGTTCTGTAGCCACAGGATTAGAATTCACAGCAGGAGAAGCTGGACTGTGAGAGGGAAGGGTCTTTGTCCTAAAGCAACACCCGATTAGGCACAGTGAGCAGCAACAGCGCCAGCAGAACGAGGAGCACAGCAGGCTCCCGGGCTTCCTTCGCACTTGCCGGCGAAAGTCTTCCTTCGTGGAGACCAGCTGAAGGATAACCTCCCTCCACACTCCCACTCCTTAAAATAGCATAATATGGACAGTCTTTGAACCCACAAAGGACTTGACGTGAAATGTTTGAAAATCGTGTTTCTCTGATGTTGAATCTCTTAGATTATAGCTCACTTCGTAGAAGTAATTTATGTTTGTGTTATCTGCTTACTGTGGGACCAAAGAGCTTTGGCAGGCTTTTTACCTCATTGTTTTGTTTTGGTTTTGGTGATTTTACTTAGCTTAAGTGTTGTTTGAACATGAAGGTAATTACAGAGTAAGAGTTCTAGATCTTTGGTGATGTTTTCGCTACCTGTTAACATTAGTATGTATTTTGAGGGGGTTTACCCTTCCTGCTCGGACTTCTAGATGCACTTTTCTGTTACTAGATTGTATAATTCCAGCAACATACTCTGCTTTTCCCACTGGGTCATGAAACTCTTTCTTCTTTTAAGAGCACATGATATTTCATTGTATCATTTTTAGGAAAGAAAATGAATTTGGGGGGAATGCTAGTTAAGTACCAGGTAGTGTGCTATATATTTTTTCATATCTAATATAGACCTGAACATAGTCAACCTTTGGCCTCTGATGGCATTTCATTGTTCTTACTGTGTTAGGAACTGGGTCGTTTCAGTTTTTGTGAATGCAAGGTGAGAAACCTTAAAATAATTTGTGCCAAAAATTGCTTTGGAGATCATTAAAATTAAGTGCTGCTGTTACTGGTTGTCGTTTTTAATAACTTATCAATATTGCTGTAGATGTCTAGATTTCAGTAAGACATCTGACAAAGTGTCTCCTTGTAAACAAGGACATTTGTAGGCTGGTAGATAAACGAGTAAATAGGATTCAATGCTAGTTGTAAAACTTGCAGAATTGTTCTGGAGAGATCTATAGTGGCACATCGCAGGTTTCTGCCCTTGTCCCTGGCCTGTTTGTGAACTTGGATAATGACTTAGAGGCATGTTTGCTTGCTGGTGGATGAGAAAGCTAAGAAGAAAAACTGAAAATAAAATGCCCACTAAAGATTTTAAAAGATCACAGACTGAAGGATGAGTTGAAAGGGACTGATTGAATCTTTCTTAATTGTGACAGTTCTTATCATCAGTTAAAAATATCACTATGAAGTTATAGACTGGATGAGAACTGGCCAAATTGTAGAAGAGATAGAAAGCACCTGAAATTTGTGACATCATGGGAATTTGTGTATTGCATTTGTCTATAAAGAACCGAAGGCCATGGTAACAGATGCCAAAGGTACAGAACGAAGGCGGTGTAGTAGTACTAAGACTACATTCTGCAGAACTGGCCAGGTCGTGCTTGTGCTATTTTTTATGATTATAGTACAATTTTTTTATTGTGTAATATTTGGTACGTAAAAAAGAACACATGTGATATGTAAGTTATGAAGCAAATAAGATAAATGTCTAAAGGCCTTAATCCCAGCTTAAGAACTAGAACTTTCTGAAGATCATAGAATCTGTATTTTCCTCCTGTACCCCAGAAGTAACCATTATCCACAATTTGTCATTTCCTTGCTTTTTCAAAAATAATTCCACCATGTTATGTGTGTATTTCTTAGCAATATATTATTTTTAAGTTGTTTTTGAGTTGTATTAAAATGGTATAATAGTAGAAGAATCAATATTGTTAAAATGACCATACTACCCAAGGCAATCTACAGATTCAATGCAATCCCTATCAAACTACCAATGGCATTTTTCACGGAACTAGAACAACTAATTTTAAAATCTGTATGGAAACACACAAGACCCCAAATGGCCAAAACGATCTTGAGAAAGAACAGAGCTGGAGGAATTATACTCCCTGACTTTCATCAGAACATTATGATACTGGCACAAAAACAGACACATAGATCAATGGAACAGGATAGAAAACCCAGAAATAAACCCATGGCTTATGGTCAATTAATTGAGGACAAAGGAAGCAAGAATATACAGTGCAGAAAAGACAGTCTCTTCAATAAGTGGTGCTGGGAAAACTGAACAGCTACATGTGAAAGAATGAAATTAGAACATTCTCTAACACCATATACAAGACTTAAATTCAAAATGGATTAAAGACCTAAGTGTAAGACCAAATACTGTAAAACTCTTGGCGGAAAACAGGCAAAACACTCTTTGACATAAATTGAAGCAATATTTTTTGAATCTGTCTTAGAGTAATGGAAACAAAACAAAAATAAACAAATGGGATCTAATTAAACTTATAAGCTTTTGTAGAGTAAAGGAAACCATTGTCAAAACTAAAAGACAACCTACTGAATGAGAGAGAATATTTGCAAATGATATGACTAATAAAGGATTCATACCCAACGTATATAAACAGCCCATTACAGCTCGACAAATAGCCCACTTAAAAAATGGGCAGGGCTTCCCTGGTGGTGCAGTGGTTGAGAGTCCGCCTGCCGATGCAGGGGACACGGGTTTGTGCCCCGGTCCGGGAAGATCCCACATGCCGTGGAGCGGCTAGGCCCGTGAGCCATGGCCGCTGAGCCTGCACGTCTGGAGCCTGTGCTCCACAACGGGAGAGGCCATAACAGTGAGAGGCCCGCATACCACAAAAAAAAGGGCAGCAGAACTGAATTGGCATTTTTCCAAAGAGGAAATGCAGATGGCCAACAGGCACATGAAAATATGCTCAACGTGGCTAATCATCAGGGAAATGCGAATCAAAACAACAATGAGATACCACCTCACACCTGTCAGAATGGCCATCATTAAAAAGTCTACAGATAACATGCTGGCAGGGATGAGGAGAAAAGGGAACTGTTGTACACTGTTGGTGGGAATGTGAATTGGTGCAGCCTCTGTGGAGAGCATTAAGGAAGTGTCTTAAAAAACTAAAAATAGAACTACCATATGACCCTGCAATTCTACTCCTGAGTATATATCCAGAAAAACCCCAAAACACTAATTTAAAAAGATACATGTACCCTAATGATCATAGCAGAACTATTTACAGTAGCCAAGACATGGAAACAGCCTAAGTGTCCATCAGTAGACGAATGGATAGAAGAGGTGGTCCATATACACAGTGGAGTACTGCTCAGCCATGAAGAGTGAAACTTTGCCCTTTGCAGCCGCAGGGACAGACTTTGTGGGCGTTATGCCCAAGTGAAACAAGTCAGAGAGAGACAGTGACGTCACTGACATGTGAAGTCTAAAAGATGCAGCAGACTAGTGAACATAACAAAAAGAAGCAGACTCACAGACACAGGGAACAAACCAGTGGTTACCAGTTGGGAGGCGGGGGGAGAAAGGTAATATAGGGGAGGGGGAGGTACAAACTGTTGGGTGTAAGACAGGCTCAGGGATGTACTGTACAACACGGGGAAGACAGCCAATATTTTGTAATAACTGTAAATGGAAAGTAACCTGTAAAAATTATATATAATAAAAAAAGTTTTAAATGGTGTAATACTGTATATAGCATTTTACCACTTGCTTTTTTTTTTTGGCTGCGTTGGGTCTTCGTTGCTGCCCGTGGGCTTTCTCTAGTTGCTGCGAGCGGGGGCAGCTCTCCGTTGGCCGTGTGCGGGCTTCTCACTGCGGTGGCTTCTCTTGTTGCAGAGCACAGGCTCTAGGTGCACAGGCTTCAGTAGTTGTGGCTGGTGGGCTCTAGAGTGCAGGTTCAGTAGTTGTGGTGCATGGGCTTAGTTGCTACGCGGCGTGTGGGATCTTCCTGGATCAGGGCTTGAACCCGTGTCCCCTGCATTGACAGGCGGATTCTTAACCACTGCACCACCAGGGAAGCCCCTTGCCACTTGCTTTTTACATTTAACGTTCTAAGATTCATGTATATCCATTGTTCTCAACCAGAGTCTCTCATCTGGACCGTAGAACACAGAAGATGATTTGAGTGCCCATTTTCTCATTTCTCCCAAGGATGGGACACATGTAGCACCCTTTTAGGGTACATCGGAGAGGAGCTGTCTCATTACATATAATGGATGCTTTAGGCTAGCCAGCAGGGCTTAATTCTCTATTGGAACCTGGTGGAGAAAGGCTAAATCGTAGCTCTAGGTAATTCTTTTTTACTGATGTAGTATGTTCCGTTTGTGAGCATACTAAAGCTTATTCACATATTCTTCTATGATGGACATTTGGGTTGTTTCTGGTACTTTTGATGTTATTGTTTCTGTGAACAAGCTATGACCATCCTGTACCTTTCTCTGAGTGCACACGATTAAATCTTTCTCTCAGTGTACATCTGAGTGGTGTTGCAGGGGACTGCTGCATTTTAGCGGGGACGTTGGTAAACTGGAGTGAGTACAGAGGAGGGCGATCGAGCATAGTTTAACCATATCATAACCAACCATTATTTATTTTTATTTTCTTAGGGATTGAAGAGGTTAATGACCATTTGCCAGAAGCACTTTCCTACAGATCCATCGAAATGTGTGGAGTACAATGCACTATGAGATCTGTGTGCGGCCCGTGAATATCACAAGAAACTTAAGGAAGCCTGGCGTGGACTTGCGGAACTGCCAACAGCACGAGGGAGGAAGAAAAAGGAATTTCTGGTCTCTGAGTTCTGCCTAATGCAACTCTTGGTTTTAAGAACTGTGTTGGCTCTCATGTCCCATCTGACTGCCAAGTGATTTTTGTGTCTTGCTTTTATTTTAAATAGTCGAAAAATTAAGTTCTAAAGACTTTTCCCCATAATTTAAATGTGTAGACAACAGTCACAGGACAGGGTTTAAAATAACTTTTCCCCTCTAGACCTGAAAGTTGCAGTTAGAGGATTAAAAAGGAACATTTGAGGATGGACTTAATTATTTCTGTAAAATATGGTAATTTTCACGTTGCCTCTTATGAAGTGTTTATAGAAAAATATTTTTATATTTTTCAACAAAAACATGGAACCATTTAATGAAACTTGATAGTCCTTAAATGTTGCTGAAGTTTTGCCATCTTGCAATAGATTTGAATGTAAATATTACTACTGTTACGTGTTATTTTTCTTGCATTTCAAAGCTTTTATCTTTTAAATTGTGTAAATTTTAGTATTGGTCATCTCTCGGGACAGATGCAATTAACAGGAAATAGAAGTTTGGAACACAAAGATTTGAACCAACAGAAGTTCAAATTCAGTAACCCCAGTGCATCAAGGTTCAAGGTGGGGAAATGGATTGTCAAGCCAAGGACGGGGATGTTTCGCTGCCGCTGGTTCTTCCTAGAATAGGACTGCCCGTGAGCGTCATCCTCCCGAGACCGGTGGTGGACAGCTGTCCCAGCTCCATCCCGCCCAGCAGAAGAGGAAGTTGCCAGGACCCTTGGCCGCTGCCCGAGACAGTAGGTCCTGGGTCTGATTTTGCACAAACGAGGACTTCTTTTGAATCTTGCACAGTGTCACCCCCAGATAATTGTGGCGAATCACTGCGCTTTAGAGGTTGAGAGGACTCAATGGATAGAGGCAGGTAGGGAAATAGAAAGCTGCCTGAGCAGGTGGATTGGCACTGCCGGCTAGAGGGAGGAGTGGGGCTCCAAAGTCAGCACTAACTCACCTCATACTGCAGCTCCCCACCTGTGCACGTAAGGGTGTGAGTATGTATGTACGACCGTGAGCAAGTCACTTCAGCCCTCTAAGCCTCAGCTTCCTTATCTGCAAAGGTGGTGATACTTGTATATACCTCATGGCGTCACTGTTGTATTTACGTAAAAGAAAACGCTTAGCTCGCTGCCTGGCAAGTAAGAGCTCAGTAAATAGCAGTTGTGTCCTTGTTGTTAGAGTGAAGACAAAGTAGCTTTCCCCACCTGCCGTCAGGGTCATTGTGGGCTCACGTGACGAGAACAGTGGTGGTGGCAGCAGCGTGCTAGCAGCGTCGGCAGTGCTCGTAGGAGCATCTATTAAGCATTTACTGTGTCCAGGCTCTATAGCTGCTCACACTTTGAGCCAGTTCTGAGTTTAGAAGGATCGAGAATGTGGTGGGGCTGGAGTCAGCTGCGCGGGTGCAGGTGGGCTCACAGTCACTTCTCCTGGCCCCTCTTGGGAAGCCTCGAAAGCCAGTTCTGGCCACTTGTGGGGTCTGTGGCTGTGCCTGACTGATCGTGTCCGCTGGTCATGTGTGCGATGGTGGCTGAGGCCTGCTGTCCTAAATTGAATCAGGGTTCCTTGCCTACTTTAGAAACAGTTTCTTCTTATTAAATTACAACCGAAGAGAGCTTACTAGAGCAAGTAAGAGACAGACGTTCATAAGATATGACCACAGTCTAGACTTCTTTTATGTAGTCTTGTTGTATAGGACTTGTTTATAAATATTGTTGAACGAACACTCCCCCAGGTCACTTCTTTTTTAATTCCCAGTCAGCATGGTAGTCAGCTAATTTTGTGTTGTCTTCCCATTTGCTGTTAGTTAATATTCCACCACAAAGAAGAAACTGCGTCATGTGACACCAGTATCTTCTAAAACTGATCAGTGTGGATAGATGGTTGGAAAAAAGAGTTGTACTGTATTCTGCAGTGCTGTGAATGTCGGTCATTCTGGGCTTAGGTTGAAAGACGTAGATCTTGTGGAAAAGTCTTCCGTTTCCCTGAAGTGAAAGATCTTCAGAGGATTGCAGATGTCATGGGGGTGTGTTAAAAAATGACCTCTCGCAGTCTCCAAATCATGAAAATTTTAGTTCACCAGATGCTGCATATTTCTATTTTTTAGCTATTTCTAAAACAATAAAGGCCTGTCTTTTAAAATCAGTCACAGTCCTGAACTAAGTATATTTTTCCCTTTCTATCTCCCACCTGCTCAGACTCCTTTCCAAAGGAGTCGTGTCTTTCTGGATTCATATTTAGTGAAACACTGGTTTCCCCCCAGAAGTAAATACTGCTTTTCTTAGGAGTGTTCTTGCCAGCTACAAAGACCGAGCAGTATTTTTCAGCACCGCAGCACGGGGCTGCGGCAGTCTGGAGGTCACGGCTGTGATTCTAGCCTTTGGGGAAAACTAGGAAAAGAAGGCTGAGGCCAGAGACAATTGACACACAGCGGGGAGAGAGAAGGGATGGTCCTGGTCCTATAGGAAGGAGGAGGAGTCCCGAGAGACCAGAGCAAGGAAGGCAGCTGCCACTAGCAGCAGCATTTAGGGTGCGCTGCGACTCTGAACTCTAAGGAAGAACTTGGAGGAATAGAAAATCGGGTTGATAGCGGTGTGACTTCTTAAAGTTAAGTGTTTCCTTCTGGTGGTCTCCTGACCCAGTCTAGCCCTTTAGATTGTCCCGGGATTTGACACCAGTAAATACTGTAGCAATACAATTGTCTTTTTATATGAAAGAGTGGTAGCTTTGAACTCGGGGGATTCCTATCACTGGCTCCTTTGCAGCCCTGCAATAACTCCCTTTAGTGCTTCTGGACCTAGAAGGGTAGTAGAGCTAAGTGGGGCAGATTCAGTGAAAGGGGAGCTCGGGTTGAGCTGCGGCCGTTTCCTTTGTGCAAATATCTCGAAGAGCGTAACTTGGTGGGTCATGCCTCCCTCTTCCCGCCCTCGTGCGTGGAGCCCCTGGAGCCCCTGGAAGAATGTCTGTCCCATAGAAATTCATGGTATGGAGTCACATTGGGAGGCTTCAACTGAAAGCACCTTCTCATGGCAGGTGTATATAAGAGTTGCCAGCTGTCAAGAGTCAGGAGCCAGCTCCAGTCCCCGGAGGGTCGCTGTGGGAACACCATCACGGCAACTGGTTTTCATCACACACTCTGCAGTTGGATTGGCTGAGTTTTAACTACGCAGTAGTCCTGGAATGGTTAACAGTAACCTTAAAATCTTTTGAAATTTAAAAATAAGTTCTGGTGGTGTGGACCAACTGGGGGAGTGCAGTGTGGGCGGCGGCAGCTGTGGTGTGCGCCGAGCCCATTCAAGATTCTGGGACGACGCTCATTTAGAAAAAGTGTTTTTTACATTTACCAGAACAGTTTATCATGAAAGCATTGGTTATTATTTTTCCACAAACTCTTACGCAGCTTGTCCAGACTACTCCTTGTGTTGATGGTAATGGTTACTCTGTTTAACTAGGCCACTTCCTTTTGTTTAGTCTGTCCTCTCTGTCCTTAAGCGCCAGCTTTGAAATAATTGTCAGCCTTCGCACAGCATTCAAGGTGAACACACTGCTTTGACCACGGACGGCAGCTAAGAAGGTTTGAGCTGCTTCCTGAGCGTCGTTGGTGATCACACATGCAGTCACCGAGCTTCCTGCCACCACAGTCCAGTCACTGGCTCTCCTTGCCCTCTGCACGCCCAGATTTTACAGCTTGCCAAAACCAAATTGCCTTTGCTCTCCAACTGCCCTTCCCCTGAGGCTTAGGAGACACCATAAACCATGATTGTTGTCGTCGGAGCCTGGTTTCGAGATTCTGCCATCCTGTGAAGTGGGAGGATTAAAGTTGTAGCTTTGAAACGTTTTGACCACAACTCACAGACAACAGTAACAAGTGTGTGGACACCCAGTATTCCTTGCGTATATGCATATGTAACAGAAGCACTGACCATACCATGTGCGGTACGTTCTTATGTTTTCTTTTCTGTTGTGTTTCTTATTTAAAAAAAAAAACATGCTGGTTGTGACCCTCTCAAGTGGCTCACAGCTCATTAATATGTTGTGACCAGCAGTTTGAAAACCATAGATTAAAAGGAGTTATCAGTTATGGAATGAAATGACCTGGTGGATAAATTCAGGGCAACAGGACTCTACTTCTTTTTTATTGTTTTAATACAAAGAGAACACTTAGCTCTCAAGGTTAATGTGAAATTTAGCAGATGATAAAACCTCAAGTACTTCAAATGTTAAATACTTTTGAAGTAATAATTCTTATTCAAATGGGGAGACTTGGCCATAGAAGAAGCACCAGGACAAGCCTCATACAATCCTTCTGTAAGAAGTTTGGCAGTAAAGATAGGTACAGCCTTGGGCTGGCTGTACTCTGTGTACAGCAAGAATACATAAGATACTGTAAAGTAAGTAAGAGGTTGTTTAAAAGCATGAGTTAAGATTGGGGCAGAGATAGCAGGAGTCAGGTATTATTAATCAGTTACCCGTTGAAGGTTTGTTTAGCCCTTTGAAGATTACTTCCTGAGAGTCAGGGCTAGATTACATTTCCTTTATTGTAAATTTTTTTATTGAAATGTAACATATACAGAAAAGTGCATAAATCAGAAGAGTACCATATCATAACTTTTTTCAAAGTGAACATCTCCCAAAGTAACTAGCATCCAAGTCAGGAAAGATAATGTTATTAATGCCCCAGAAATCTCTTCGTGCCTCATTCTAGTCAGAGCCATGGTCCTGATTTTCATCAGGACATTTTCATCACCCCAAAGAGAAACCTGGTACCCATTAGTAGCCATTCCCTGAATGAGTTAGTTGGCTTGTTTTGTTTTCTTTTTTTTTTGTTCTCTTTTCTTTTTGCGGTACGCGGGCCTCTCACTGTTGTGGCCTCTCCCGTTGCGGAGCACAAGCTCCGGACGTGCAGGCTCAGCGGCCATGGCTCGCGGGCCCAGCCGCTCCGCGGCATGTGGGATCTTCCCGGACCGGGGCACGAACCCGTGTCCCCTGCATCGGCAGGCGGACTCTCAACCACTGCGCCACCAGGGGAGCCCCTGTTTTCTTTTTGAATTTTATTTTATTTGTTTTTTATACAGCAGGTTCTTATTATCTATTTTATACATATTAGTGTATACATGTCAATCCCAATCTCCCAATTCATCCCACCACCACCACCCCGGCCTGCCCCACCACTTTCCCCCCTTGGTGTCCATACGTTTGTTCTCTACATCTGTGTCTCAATTTCTGCCCTGCAAACCGGTTCATCTGTACCATTTTTCTAGGTTCCACATATATGCTTTAATATATGATATTTTTTTTTCTCTTTCTGTCTGACTTCACTCTGTATGACAGTCTCTAGGTCCATCCACGTCTCTACAAAGATCAATGGAACAGGATAGAAAGCCCAGAGATAAACCCATGCACCTATGGTCAACTAATCTATGACAAAGGAGGCAAGAATATACAATGGAGAAAAGACAGTCTCTTCAGTAAGTGGTGTTGGGAAAACTGGACAGCTACATGTAAAAGAATGAAATTAGAACATTCCCTAACACCATGCACAAAAATAAACGCAAAATGTATTAGACTGGACACTATAAAACTCCTAGAGGAAAACATAGGAAGAACACTCTTTGACATAAATCACAGCAAGATCTTTTTTGATCCATCTCCTAGAGAAATGGAAATAAAAACAAAAGTAAACAAATGGGACCTAATGAAACTTAAAAGCTTTTGCACAGCAAAGGAAACCGTAAACAAGACGCAAAGACAACCCTCAGAGTGGGAGAAAATATTTGCAAACGAAGCAACTGACAAAGGATTAATCTCCAAAATATATACAAGCAGCTCATGCAGCTCAATATCAAAACAACCCAAGCAAAAAATGGGCAGAAGATCTAAATAGACATTTCTCCAAAGAAGACATACACATGGCCAAGAAGCACACGAAAAGCTGCTCGACATCACTAATTATTAGAGAAATGCAAATCAAAACTACCATGAGGTATCACCTCACAACAGTTAGAATGGGCATCATCAGAAAATCTACAAACAATGCTGGAAAGGGTGTGGAGAAAAGGGAACCCTCTTGCACTGTTGGTGGGAATGTAAATTGATACAGCCACTATGGAGAACAGTATAGAGGTTCCCTAAAAAACGAAAAATAGAACTACCATATGACCCAGCAATCCCACTCCTGGGCATATACCCAGAGAAAACCATAATTCAGAAAGACACATGCACCTCAGTGTTCACTGTAGCACTATTTACAATAGCCAGGTCATGGAAGCAACCTAAATGCCCATCGACAGACAAATGGAAAAAGAGGATGTGGTACGTAGATACAATAGTTCTTTATATAGTCTGGCTATGAGTCGTATGTTAGATATATGTATTACAAATACTCCCACCCTGTGGCTTGCCTATGCATAGGGGAAATAATCTTGTAACTAGCTCAGGCATAACCTTTGTCAGCTATCTTTGCCAGATAGATTTTATAAAAAATCATGTGAATCTTAAATAACATAACCTTTTCATAGTGGCGTGCCTGAGTGTGGGATTTGAGAGAAGAGGAAGTCGTGTGAGTTTTTGTACTTTTGTCAAACTATAGTTTTATGAGATTACTGTTTCATTAAGACTTGGTTTGTATTTTTCTTCTTTAGGTCTGCAAGTTTATGGGCCGTATATGTGTGGTGTGGACACTGCCAGCTGCTTACCCTGTTTTCATTCTCCTCTCCTTTGCCAACAGAGCCCTACTTTGTGCAGAGCTGCAGTGAGCACAGTAAAAGCTACTTGCTCTCCTGGGACCCTTTAAAGTTAGAGTTGGTTTTGTGATAGGTTCTGCCAATAAATATGGATAGAAGTCTTTTGGGTGGGACTTCCAGGAAACCTGTTGCTTTTCTAAAAAAGAAAAAAAAAAAGAGATAGACTTAGTTAACAAAAATGTTGCCCTTTCTTCTTTCCTAAAAAGTGGTCATGATGCTTCAGTGCTTTGCAGCCATCCTGCAGTCTTGATGGTGGGAGACCCATGCTAGAGATGGTGGAGTCAGTTCTTTAATGGCATCGTGGGCATCATTGTGCAAACCTTGAACCACTGTATTAGTCAGGGTTCTCCAGAGAAACAGACCTACAAGGAAATTGTATATATGGAATTGATTCCTTTGATTATGGAGGCTGAGAAGTCCCATGATCTGCTGTCTGCAAACAGGAGAGCCAGTGGTGTAAATTCCAGTCTGAAACCAAAGGCTGAAGATCCAGGAGAGCCTATGGGAAGTCCCACTTTGAGGGAGGGAGAGGACCAGCGTTCCAGCTCCACGGTCAGGCAGAGAGAGCAGCTTCTCCCTTACCCCACCTCTTGTTCTGTTCAGGCCCTCGACAGATTGGATGAGGCCCGTCCACACTGGAGAGCAATCTTTTACTCAGTCCACCGATTCAGATGTTCATCTCCACAAACACCCTCACAGATACACCCAGAGTAATGTTTAACCAGACATCTGGGCACCCGACTCGCAGTCAAGTTGACCCATAAAATTAACCATCACAGCTGCCTTCCTCTGGGCCTCACGTTCTGTGAGGACAGTATTGGGTAAGCTCCTGCCGTTGTGTTTCCATATACTCTGCAGAATTCAGTCCCTAAGCAATATACATGTTACTCAGATGTCTCAGCTTTCAGAACCATTGAGGCGTGTAGCAAGTGTGTCCCGGTGCCCTGAGGTCCCGTCTGCCCCAACGGGAGCAAGACCTGACTCTGCCACGTCCACGTCCTACTATGTATGATACACGTAAGTGTAACAGTGTTAACGGGAATGAGCTCTGGATATCGGCACCAGGTCATTTCAACTGCAGAAAAGCCATGAACCAAACGGACGTTAAAGGCAGTTCAGAGACAGCCAGGCTTCAGAGCAGATAGAGGTCTGGCCTGTGGTGGAGATTCTTGTCACTCCGTTGGACAGGCATCTAGCTCTTGTTCTCTCGTGTTGCTGCCAGATCTCCATTAGCCTTAGAAATGACTTTGAGAGGAATACACTCCCGAATACCTCTATGGATGAGAAAGGTGTTTGAGAAAATGCACGATTGTGCTTTCATTTGGGGGGAAAGTATCTTTTTTTCAAAATTAATTAATTTGTTTTTGGCTGCGTTGGGTCTTCGTTGCTGCGTGTGGGCTTTCTCTAGTTGTGGCGAGCGGGGGCGGCTTCTCGTTGTGGTGTGCGGGCTTCTCATTGCGGTGTCTTTTCGTTGCAGAGCACGGGTTCTAGGCACATGGGCTTCAGTAGTTGTGCACACGGGCTCAGTAGTTGTGGCTCGTGGGCTCTAGAGCGCAGGCTCAGTAGTTGTGGTGCACGGGCTTAGTTGCTCCGCGGCATGTGGGATCTTCCCGGACCAGGGCTGGAACCCGTGTCCCCTGCATCGGCAGGTGGATTCTTAACCACTGCGCCACCCGGGAAGTCCCGGGGGAAAGTATCTTGATATGCTTCTACCTGTTATCACCACGGTCCCTTCTAGAACAGTAACTCACATTATGCTAACGTGGGCTGAAAGGGTACATGTGTTTTTTGCAAAATTATAAAAAACTGTGCTTGCCTCTCCCGTGGCACCTGCCACACCCTGCTTCAGGATGAGACCCTGCTAACCACCTTTCTCCTTTGGTGACTGGCTTTCTGTTGGGTTCTACCGATGGTGGGCCACGAGGGAGATGGGAACCCCGAGGAGGGAAGAAGGGGCCTGTTCCTCGATGTTTGCTTCCTGTCCCTGACGGTGGTGGCCCAGCTGCGGGTCGCAGCCCAGCAGTGACAGTTCATTCCTGGAGGAGGTGGTCCTGGCCTGCAGGATTGCCACACTTTCATAGAACCAGCTTTGCCTCGAAAATTGCAGCGCCGTCAGCCCGGTGCCCCTTTCAGACATTTGTATCCCGGCTCCGTGAGGTCCTGCCAAGTCCCGAGGCACCGGTACCAGCTGCGCGGTGTCCACGCCTCAGAGGTTTGACTCCCAGCTCCGCTTCTAGGTTTTCAAAGCCCCTTCTCTGTTCCCCAGCCCTGAGGGTGCTGGCTGCTTCCCTTGGTTATCATCTCTGTCACCTCTTCAGTATCCTGTTAACAACCCTTGATATTCAACCCTTTCTGTTAAAATAACTGGCATGGTCTTGGCCTCCTGATTGAACAGGCAGCCGGATTTGCAGTTCCTGCGTGAGGGGGAATGAGGCCGGGTCCTCTCCCAGCACCCCCAGCTCAGATTGGCTTCCCACTGGCACGTGTGGCCTTTGCTCCTAGATCCTGGGATTCACCCCAAGCGTGGAGAACTAAGACGATGGAGAAACGGGTATCTCACCTCCTGTCCGGTCATGCAGTCCTGTCTCCTTCATTCCCACTCTGCTCTTCCTCAGTCTCTTCAAGACCTTCTGTCCACTCAGTCTTCTGCTCTCTGCTACTGCATCGTCACCTTCTTGGCTTTGCTTTGCTGTGTAGTCCATCTAGATCCCATTGTCACCACTTCACTTAATCACCAGGACCGTCTACTCTCCTGCCCTGTTGCCCTCCGGCCACACTGCACTACACAGCCTGGGCCTGGCACGTTCCATCTGTCCCCTCCCGCGCCCACTAGCAGGTGCCACTGGAGGGAGTTCACATGCCAAGCATCGGGTGTCACCTGGGCCCCAAGTGATGCCTGGAGGGCGTTCTCCACCTCCTCTCCTCTCGGGGCTGTTCTCACCTGTGACTCTGCTCCAGCCCGACCCTGCCCTCCTTTCCTGTCTAACCTGGAGGATGGCCTCACCTGTCTTTTCTCACACCGGGTTGAGTATGGAGGCAAAGCTTCAGGTCTGTTTCCCACACTCACCACCTGTTCTTACCTTACTTGGAGGAGAAGGGGTTGCTCCTCCTGTCATGGGCTAGATCTTCCGCTGACCGACCTTGCTTACCCAATACTGTCCTCATGACACGTCTTCTAATGTGCCATGTTAATTTGCTTTCATTTTCCCCCCCTCCTTCTACTCCCAGGAGGATATATATCTTCTAAGGGCAGGGATTTCACATCCATGTGGTTGACCATGAGATGAGAAGGAAAGTCATCATGGTTGATTCCGAGGGTTTTGGCCTGAGCCCTGGAAGATTGGAGTTGCCTCTAACTCAGCTGAGGAAGGTCATTAATGGAGCAGGTTTGGAGGGAACGTCAGAGATTCAGTCTGGATGTGTTAGCACATTAGACATCCATGTGGAGCTGTTGAGTGGGCTGGAGGATTGTACCAGTTTTAGAGCTGAGGTCAGGGTACTGGGAGAAACACAGGTGTCCTCAGCATAAGACACTTAGAACCATGGACAAGATGAGAGCTACAGGAAGTGACTGTGGATGGTAAAGAGGAGGCCTTGAACTGAGCTCTGGGGCACTCTGGCACCCAGACCTCGGGCAGATGAAGAAAACCCTCAAGGAGATTGGCAGGAGGAGCCCTGACTGTGATAAGGAGGAAAACCTGGAGGACACGCTGTCCTGGATACCAGTGGCAAGAGTGTTTCCATGAAGGACGTGACAGGGACCAGCTGTGCCCATTGCTACTGGTAAGTCACATAGCACGCGAACAGAGGATTAACCATCGGATTTGGCCTTGTGGGGAGGCATCCTTGACCTTGACAAGAGAGGTTTTGGTAGAGTGGGAGGAATGGAAGGATGATTGGAGGGGGTTTGATAGAAAATGGATGAATGAGTGAAAAACAAAAGGAACCTACTCTTCTGTGGGGATAAAAATGTATGGACAGAAAAATGGGGTTTTCTGATTTAAAAAAAAAATCTTGGTGCAATTGCACGCACACGGGCCCTATCGGCTAACCTGCCCACTGTTTATACTCCTGAATTGCAGCCCAGGTCCTTCAGCTGTTACCTGAACAGATAGTGACTGTGCTGGGGGTGTGATTTTGTGCAAGGCAGAGAGGTTATACCACTGCACGTCCTTTCACCTTTTCTCTGCCATCTCTGACCAGGCAGCTCCTTGAATGAGGGATGAGTGAGGGATCCCATTTACACACTTGCTGACCTCTTATCCATGGGGCTCATTTTACTCTCTTCCTTCTATCTGTTTAATGCTGGTGACCTCATTTCCCCTTCAGTCGTGGTCGTGTGCCTGTTTGTTTAGTCCACGAGAATGTAAGGTTTTGAGGACCTGGACCCATCACACAATATGGAGTGAATGACTGGCTTCAACAGTGGGCCCCTGCCTGCTTGCTAGCCCACATCAGGGGCTCTCTGATATTCCTCTTTTTAGAGAGAATTTTGTGTCTGAGCCTTTTTGAACTGGTATTCTGGGAGTAAGTAAGGAGAGGCCTGGCTGTTTCTAGTGCTTTCTACGGCAATCAGGTATTTACTGTGTTCCCTAATAACCAAAATAATGACTGTTTGGAATTGCCTTGTTGACACAACGTAAGGGGAGTGCTCGTGTGTGTGCGTGCGTGTGTGTGCGTGCGTGTGTGTGTGTGTGTGTGTGTGTGTATGGGTGGTGAAAGGTAGGAGGGAGTGGGAAAGAAACGGGAATGTCCCAGCGTCCTGTGGGCCAGCTGCTTTCACGTGATAGAGCTTAAAAGGATATAGATTTCTTTCCTGAGCGGTGACATATTTACATGGAAAAGGCTTAACAGAAGATCCTATTTGTTTGCAATCAGTGTTGATCACCTCGGTACAGAGGCCCTCGCTGCTTTGCCAAGGACAGGCTTAGGAAGTATAAGATGCTGTCCTGATGGGCCTGCTTCCAGATGTGCTTCAGGTTCTCAATGGCTTGTTTCCATTTTTGGCAGGGGTTAACCCACACTGGTGGCAAATGCTTCAGCAAGGCTTTCCATCCCGGGATGCTCTTGGCTGCCAGATTTCTAGTTTCATGCTAGTGAAGAGATGCAGTGTGGGTTAGGGGGCCAGGGATGTAGTTGCAGCAAAAGCTCCGCTAAAGTAAGCCAGTCCCCGATTTGCCCATCAGTGTGGGCTTTTTGTACCTGCAGGCCCAGCGGGCTGTTGCTTTGGTGATAGGATTTAGAGGGTGGGTGACAAGAGTTTGAGCTGTGGTACGAACAGCAGTGGTAGTAAAGAGCCTGAGCTTCCTGCCTGTCTCCACAGTTGGCCCTTTTTGTCCTACACAGAACCAGGGACCACAGGGGACAGAGACTAAGGACAACGACCTCCAGAGCCCAGATGCCCTCGGTGTTTCTTCCACGTGGCACTGTCCTGTGGGAACAGTACCCAGCCTAGCACATACTGCACACAGGTAACTATTTGTCATGAGCAGTGATACAGATACTAAAATAGCATCCTAACAAGGGCTGACCTCTCATCTCAAATCCTTTTTGTAGTAGGAGGAATACGTAACAATATATTTGTATAATTAAAAAAGGAAACTAGAATAAGAGGGAATTAGCCTCTACTAAACAAACCAAGCTTGTCTACATGATGGAGTAAGCCACTGAGAATATCGTCTATATAGACTGACTTTAAAAAAGGAGCCCAATGGGGCACAGGCAACTGAATGAGAGATCCCTGGAGCATGCGTGTTTATCACTTAGAAACAAACAGAATGTCCAAGAGGCAACTGAGATCTTTTCATTTTGAAAATGCTTTAATAAGTGTTGACAACACTGTTTTGCAAAATGTAAAGGTACTATACAAATTCTTAATACAAAAAGAATAAATTAAAAGCAGATTTCTTTTTAATTCTGCAACTTTGTCTACAACATACATCTTTGTCATTGATTACAGTTGAACAGAATCCAGTAAAGTCATTTTACATGCTCTACAAATCAGTTTCAGGAGCAATCTAATCCTTTCTTCCCCATTATTAAACTAGAGTCCATTTTACACGACTTGTAATAAACTATTGACATTAATGTATATGTAAAACTTTACACCTAGTTAATTAAGCAGTAACTGGTCATCTGATAGCACCTGGATGGGGTTTGCTATATGTAGAACTAAACTAATACCGAATGAAAACAACTTGGAATTTGAACGGTTTCAACACTCACCTGCATATGATCAAATTAAAAAAACCCACCTGTCTCACAACAAAGTCTGACGTAGGTGTTTTCACCAGCCTTCTGGCTAAACAGGCAGTTTCTTATACGTATCCAGACTCCTATAGGGGCTTTATATCAGACCAGGGGTTTCATATTTCATCTTAATTTGCTTTAAAGAAATAGGGGTATATAAGGAGCTTGCCAGTGCTTGTGTACAGTAACTATATCATTTCCCACCACACTGATCATTAACCACGTCAGTCTCAAAGGACCAGCATTTTTATGTACATCCTGTAGGAACTGAACGCAGCTCAACAGTAAAACCTGTTTTACTCAATCTCCGTCTTTACTACCAGACCATCATACCGTTTGCCTGAACTGTAATTCTGCCCCGCTATCCTGCCTCCTTTCCTTTCTGCCCCCCGAATCCCACACCAAAGTGTTTAGAAAGAATTTTCGTCTCTCAGTCTTCGTAACCCAACTGGGCTAAAAATTTATCCGACTGACTTCCGACTTGATTTCAAACTACTATCCCTGTTGTATCATCCGCAGTCTGTAACCTTGTCACCTCATCTATTTCCCTTTTGACTTTTCCTCTGGGACAGAGTTCAGTTTGATTATTCATGCATCTTCTTTTGGGAGAAAGAATCTGGCCCAATACAGAATGTTTCCGAATGGGGAAAGAAAAACCTGCTGTTTGTAGCTCTGACCATCAAAATAAGAGCAACACCCCTCCCCGTGTCAATCCCCAGAATCGTTTAATATCATCATAACCAATTTTATTTACCCTGCAGGGTTTACCCCTAAAGCGATCTGTGAATATTAATCCCTTCCGCAAGCTGATATCACCAACCCAGCCGTGCACAGAGCCAGGGAACCCCGGCCCTGAACCGTCCAGCCTGGCCCCAGCCTGCTGTGAGCCCCCAGAGGAATCCCACAGTGCTCTTCAAGCTGCAGCAGGGGGAGCACCGTGGGTATTTACTGATATTTCATTTTAACCAATGGTAAGTGTCCATTCTTACCCTCTGGGTCTGGTAGAGTCTATTGTTTATTCTTGGATTACATATACATAAAAAACAAAGCTTTTTCTTGTTACGCTAAAGCTAACTTCAACTCTGCTTGCCCACAAATCTACCCCACCCCAGCTCCTGTCTCTGGCTGTCCACTGCCTTTCCAGTAGGAAGTCATTACAAGTGAGAAAAGAGATTTCCCCCCCGCCCCGCCACTTGCGCCAATAAGCACAGCATCCCACCTCTGTGGAGACCGTGTTTGTGCCATTTGAAATAACCCAACTACGAGTGTGCACTTGTTAGTATTATAAAAGTATTTTTGAGGCCTTTGAAGATTGATGGCTTTCCAGTTGTGTGTTAAGCATAGCTCAAAACACATGTAAACGTGCAGCTCCCACACACCTTTCTTCTCTCTTCCTTTTTTGGTCCCTGCAGACCATCGGGACACATCAAGGTAGCTGATGTCGTAGGCATATGGGCCCCCTGGGAGCTGATACATTTTTTCAACCCTGCTCTGCCTGCCAGCTAGTAGACATGTGAGTACAGTCTTCCTACCTAAGGGCATAGTTGGGTTCCTGCAAGAAGTGACACGTTGGTAACCGGGTGCCATTGGATCTGAACTCTTTGTCACACAAGTGCTAACAAACAGAAAATGGGCTACGACAGTTAAACACTTGAATGGATCGCAATGTGCTTTTTCCCTTGGCTTCCCATAAAAGATCAAATGAAACACCTTGTGAGAAAAAAACAGGATACACTTTTACTGGTTGTTTTAATGAGAGAGAACCACTTTTGGCAACCATCACCTTACGTTTCCTACAAATCCCCAAAGGAAAGCAGCTTTGTGTCTTGGGCTGAACCCCCCATGCAGGCTGGGGCTAAGCGGACACTCCGCTACTCCCCGTGGGTCTGTTCTCCTTGGGGTCCAGACTCATGGAGATCCAAGTCAGCAATGCCAGCCAGGGGTCCCCCGACGTGACCATCACATTGGGTTAGTTTTCAGGCTCTCGATGGAGAGGGAGGTGGAATGTTAAGGGAGAGGGGTGAGGGGCACACGTTACAGATGGTTGACTTTCACGTGTGGGATGCAGTAGCAGTTGAGGATTTAAAAGAGATTTCATTGCAGAAAGAACGTCTTCCTCTTGGCCCCTCTTAATTTTTTGTGTGTTTTTAGTTTTTAATTTTTTTAAATCTTTGGCAGCATAACTGACTGTGATCCGTGGATGCATCTCTGATGTGTCCAGCTTCTGTTTCTGTTCTTCCTGCTCCCGCAACAGTCACTCCTCCCAGGAAGTATTTCAGCTGTCCGCTGAATACTCCCACGGGGCATGGTCTTCACCGAGTGCTTGGTGGGCCTCCAGGTGGGCCCCAGCTTTCACAGTCTTTCTGGATCACCCTGTACTTAAGTCCCCTCTCCTGGTTTCCACCAATGCCACTAGTCCACAGGAGTCCAGGCCAGCCAGCTTCCCTGATGGTTCCTGGCCAGGGGGCTGTCACGGCAGGGGGGAGCCACCAAGGTGCCATTGAGGATTGGTGCCTGGCTCTCTGGGCAAGGGAGCCAGGGGACACACAGTGGGACCGGAACCTTCCAGAATGTCTCCCCAGTCAGGTTTTTGGAGGGTGAGGGGGACGCGGAGACAGGAGAAGAAAAGTGCTGAGGGCCGAAGCTGGTGCAGGTGACACTGCGTCTGGGTAAGGCAAATGAGAGGCAGTGAGGTGATCTCAGAATGGCGTCGAGGCGGCCAGATTGAGGCCAGCTGGCTCACACGAGGGTCCCGGGCTTGGCTTTTTCTTGCCCGTACCACTGGACATCAGCTAGTTCTGGATAGAGGGAGGGATCCAGGAAACAGCTATCATTGTAGCTCCTGCAGGGAGTCCAAGGGCGAGAGGAGACAGTTAGGGGGGAACGTCACTTGGCAGTCTGCGTTCAGAAGTACGTGTCCATAGGGGCCGATAATGATCACTCGTCTTCCCCGTTCATAAGGAACCAGGCCTGCGGCAGTGCTGAGCGCACAGCAGGCTCGCGCAGACTGGAGAACATTCACACCCAGGGGACCTAAGCCTTGTACATGTGTGGAGGGAAACGGAGCTAACACTTAATGCAGTGGTCCTCGGGCTCGGCTGCATGTGGGACTCACCCGGGAACCCCCAAAACACCCACCGTGGAGATGCAGGTTTAATTGGTCTGGGCTGTGCTTGAGTGTCCGGAGCTTTCAGATCCCCCCACATGACTCTCCCATGCGGCCAAGGCCCAGAACCCCTCCGGCTGGAGGCCTCAGGATTCTTTTTTTTTCTCAGAACACTTGCTTGCTTTGTCCTCCCTGAGATCCCAGGTGTAACCAGCGTCCACCAGATTTTTATTCTGTCCTGGAAGCACATGCGAAATGGCAGGTTTCCCTGTAGGGAAACTGAGGTGATATTTTGAATGGAGTCTTAGTGCTGTTTATTTGAAATAACATGTATTGTTGTGTGATTATCAAAAAAAGTATTGAAAGTATATAGAAAAGTGTATAGAAAAGACTTTGTAAAAAACAGACTTGCAGCTGTGCGTCACGACGCAGGTTGGGCACAGTCGTCCCTTGGTATCTGCAGGGAATTGGGTCCAAGAGCCCCCCCCTGGATACCAAAGTCCGAGGATGAGCAAGTCCCTGATACAGACTGGTGCAGTACAGTTGGCCCTTCGTATCGGTGGGTTCCTCATCAGTGGATCGGAGGGCCAGCCGACTGTATTTGTTGGGAAAAACCTGAGTATAAGTGGACCTGTGCAGCTCCAATCTGTGTTGTTCAAGGGTCAGCTGTGGTCTTTGCATATCAAGAAGCAATCACATGGATATGCTGATGCCCATGATCGTTACTAGGCATCATTATTAGGGAAAACGGCCCCTCCCCACTGATCCTGAACTAGCTCTTTGAGGGCTAAAGATCACACTTTATCTCACTGAATCTAGGAATGGGCTGGAATTTGCCCAGGAGGTGCCCAGACGCTGGTTAATCAGCCATGCGGCCTGAGGAGATGGGGTCCTACCTTCCTCTCCCTGCCCTGCGGGCCGCACGCAGCCCCTGACATGGGCATGGCTGACCTCGGGGCCCTGTGCAGGAACAGCTGCAGAGGGGCCTGGATTACCACCTGTGCTCTTCCTTTGTTTTGAGCTTCTACTCCTAGTAACTTCTGAGTGTTCATTTGTGCTGATTCCTAAAGGGCTGAAACCTGTAGGCCTTTAACCACAGCCTTCGGTTTTTGGAATAGCATTCCTGGGAGGGACACGGGTCTGTGCCTCTGAGTTAGTAGGTGTGGGTTTGTTCAAGCTGGGTTTTCAAGTTTGACCTCCCCAGAGCACACGCCGTTTTAGGGGTAGAAATACTTATTTGGAAACAGCATCAGGACTTTCCATAAATGTCAGAAGATGATTTCCTCCCCTGCCGCTGATCTCCCCATGCCCTGTGCTACGGTTATGGCTGGGGACGGGTGGCAGGAAGAGACTCAAAGGAAAGCAGGTTTCAAGAGCGTCTTCAGGACAACCTCGTGAACCAGTTTATGACTGAGAATAAGCCATCATCGCCATTTTTCTGTTTGATTCGCTGATTTCTCTAGGAACAAGTGGATGAAGGCATTCTGGATTTCGTGAAGGTTTCTCATCTGGCTTTTAAAAAACCCATCAACGCTGGAAAACCCAAGGCCTCTGTGAGCATACCATGGCCTTTAAAGAGAGTCCCGTGCCTGGAACCCCTGAAATATATACTGGGGTTAATACACTTAAAGGTGGCTTCAGAAGCAAAGTAACATCGAGGCCCTAATTCCGGAACTGGCCCTGCCCGTCTGTCACTGTCTTCCGGTGGTAAGTAGCTGATTCCGTCCTACCCACCCTGCAAACTCTCTCTCCACCCTGATAAAACTGACCTGTGCAATCGTGCCTGAGGGACTGAGAGTCTTTTCGTGGCAAAAGGTGGTTGGATCCCACGGTGGACATACGCTGTTCATTGGGGGACAGTCCCTCCCTAACTCTGCGTCGTCCTGGTGGTGGTTTCCACCAGGGTGTCTGCCCTACCCTCACTGAGGGTGGCCAAGTGGCCCAGGGCGGGGCCAGTTAGAGTCCTCTAACCCGTCACTGGTCAGAGATGGGCAAATGCCCGAGCAAGGCCAAGCAGCTTTCACACTACAGGGCTGTCCACTTCCTCCCGAGGATGTGACCGCCAGGAACAGGAAGTAGAGGCAGAGATGGAGAGAGCACGCAAGCTCCGTGCTGCCCGCAGCCACGAGGCCGGTGCGACCATGCAAAACCCGCTAGTTTGTAAAAGAACAGTAGAATCCAAATCCTGTTTCTGGAAGCTGGACTCAATGAAGGTTACGTGCTCAGTGTGGAGAAGACACTTAAGGTTTTTCATTCACCTAAGCTCCAAAGAGCCTTGCTTTTTCTTTTTTCCTTCTGGTAAGAATTATCTCCCCGAAGTTTGCGTTTCTAAGAGCTGGCCTAGGTAAGAGTTCCTGGAGGAGACCAGGTGGAATATTCACAACTCAAAAGCACAGGAAAAGAATGGGAGTTCCTCCAAGAAGGACTTTACTTTCCTAAATCCAGTCTTTTACAATGTCTGCAAGCCTTTTGAGGTGAAGAAGGGATGTTTGGGGATTGATAAGAAAAAGGATAGGTAGGCTTTGAATTGCTTCTAGAGCTGCATTTCTGTTCTTGTAAGGACTAGGTTTGTAAGACAAGGACAGTTTCTAATTCCATAAGGAACTGGGTTGCAACTTGATGAATGAAGCCAACAAGATCTTTAAACTTGAACTTGTTTTTTGGACAGGGGTGGCAGCCATGGGATCCGAAGGCGACTTCTGATTTCAGGCTCCCTCCTTGTGGTTGGTCTGTCCGACTTGATTCAGGACTTGGGCAAGGACACATTGTCCTTCTGGTGAGTACCCTTTTGGTTTCTGAATTAGAATGCACTTGGTTCACATTCAAACGTGTAGTTTTCCTGAGAGCAAAACTAAAACAAAAATTGGAGGGCATGGGTCAAGCCCCTAACGAGAGACAACTGTCTCCAAAGCCCAAGGCTCCCGGGTAAGGATAGGGTGGTCACAGCCAAGCAAGGGTCACAACAGGTCACAGGCCACCTGCAGGAAAAGTCCATGTAATGAGACCCCTGGTCACGGGCAAAGCTGTCCACCAGGACAAAGAAGTATCCTGTGAAAGGTGAACTGTCAAACAAAACCCAAGTCCCAGCCCTAAGCTCACGCCTTAGGCTATAGAGAATGTTTTCTTCATTCTAGGAAAAACTCCGCAAATGGGATCCCACTCATCTAAATGCTTTAAGGGCGCCCCCCACCCCGGCCTTAGGAACCACCCACAGCACTTCTGTGTTAAAAATTTTTTTGGTCTGTCTGCACACACAAGGACCAATCTTACTGAAGACAAACTAAAATGGCAATGGTCACCATGAGGAATGTTCCAGTTAGCCAAGACCGTTCACTTCAGAAGTGCACCTGGAAGCCAGGGCTCCCCAATCAAGCAGGTGGCACGGGACACCTAGTTCAATTGGCGTGAGGAAGCCTCCAGAAGGCTTCACTGAAAGATTCATTGCAAAAGGATCATGAAACAAAGATACAAGAGATGCCCAAAATAAGACTGTAAGACTGATGTTAACTCCTACTCTCCCCTCTCTCCACCTTGCCTCATTATACTCTCCTCCGTCTGCACTGTCTCCCCACTTTGAAGAGACTGCGTGACTGTAAACAAGGTCATCAAGTTGGTGGCCTTACGAACACTCCATATCTGCCCTCAAAGAAGGACCCCCATTTGGGCTCTCCCAGGGTTGATGGGACTCCATGGATTCTCCTGTAACTGCTACCAGTTATTCCCTTCAACAGCCAAGGGGAAACTAAAATTAATGGAAAACCTTGCCAAATTCTGGTAGATTAGTGGAGCTATACTCTCTAAACCCCAGTTGTTCCAGAGCCTGCAGATGGGATCCTGGTAGATCTGGCAGAAGCTGGAAGGGGTGAGAATTCTGACCAGAGTCAGCTCTCCTGAATCTCTGTTTGCAGTGCCCAGTTGAGAGAGAAAGGTAAATCGTTCATGTCCCTTCCTTTCCAAATCCAGACCCATTGGTTGATCTTTTCTCTCCCAGGGACAGCTGTTGCCTTCTTGTTTGTCTCGTTTTGTGTCCTGAGAACTTGGCTTGGCGACCGTCAGGTTGGGCAGATATAACAGAAATGTAAGTTGCACCTTACATTGGTGGATTAGTGCCAGCCCTCAGGGGAACTAAGTCTTTCCTTCTTTGGGAGTGGCTCTGGAGCTTGGGAGAGTGGTGTCCTTTGCACCCTCATTGGGAATGCCTCTTGCATTCATGGGGTCTTTCAACAGGGCCAGGAATATTTACTGTTTGTCCCCCTGACAAGATATTTAAAAGGATTGTTTAAGTAGCTCTATGGTCAGAAGTTGGCCAAACTGCTGGACGCTGATATACAGAGCCCGTTAGGAACTTTTTAAAGGCTTTGTCCCCTAAGTCAAAATGAAGCTATGTACCCAGAGGGAAAGAAAAACATTCCAAAGACAAAGCTCTAAATCTAGAGGGTAGGAATCTCTTGAATTCCATCTTAGTTGAAGATCTTCTCTCTGATCTAAAGAAGCAAATAGAAGATAATGTAGTTGGATGGGCTACGATGTCATTCACGTTGCAACCCAATTCCCCGACTGTCCTTGTCTTACAGACCTAGTCTTTACAGGCACAGAGATGCAGCTCTAGAGGCAGTTCAAAGCTCACCTGTCCTTTCTGTCAATCCCCAGACATCCCTTCTTCATCTCAACAGGCTTGCAGACATTGTAAAATACCTGGATTTAAGAAAGAAAAGTCCTTCCTGGACGAAGTTCCATTTTTTCTCCTGTGCCTTTGAGTTGTGAATGTTCCACCTGGTCTCCTCCGAGAATTCTTACCTAGGCCAGCTCTTAGAAACACAAACTTCAGGCAGGTAATTACTTCAGGCAGGTAATTCTCACCAGAAGGAAAAAAAGATGGGGAAGGCTATTTGGAGCTTAGGTGAATGAAAAACCTTAAGTGTCTTCTCCACAAATAGTAATGAAAAGCGTTAGCCATCTGAGCAGGTAACCCTACCTTACTCCAACTTCCAGAAACAGGATTTGGATAAAAGTGTTCTTCTATAAACTAGTAAGTTTTGCATTATTGTACCTGTCTCATAGGTAAAATTTTAAAACAAAAGCTTTACGATCTCTGCATCTGTCTGTATGTTTATCTATGTACATTGTATGTTTGTAATGTTTTTCTACCTCTGGTATTGCCAAAATTAATTTGCAAAAGAGCATATTTAATTGGCTTAAAGCAAAATAAGCGATTATCAAATTAAGTATTCTAAAACTCTGAAATACAGAAACTTAACCCAAATGTTTTTCAAGTTCGCATGATCTAGGAAAAATCTTTAGTAAACAAAAGCTAACTTAAGTTTGTTGGTTTAATTAAAGTAGGTATGTTAAATATAGTGCATATGTACAACTTGTATTCTACCTGGGTTTATTAGTCAAATAAGTTCACGTTAATCTCTGTTACAAAATTTGTCACCAAGGAAGAGAACTTAAGATGTTGGCTAGCTGTTTAATGCCTCGAGAAATTTTCATGACTAATCTAAACAGAATTGTTAAGAACACAGGAACAAATTTCTCACTGGGTAGACGTTTTTTCCTGTTGATAAGCAACTGCCTCTTTTGTAGCAAAGAAATTACTTCAAAACGTCATCCCTATGTGGGGCACCCCCATCATTTCTGCATAGTGACTGAGGAACTCATTTTACTGGCCAGGTAATCCGAGAACCCTGGAGAGTCCTTCTTAGGCTATACAGGCTGCATTCAGGACTTGGAGAAAAGACTAATGACATCATTAAAACCCAATTAGGAAAATTTCCTGAGACTTTGACCAAGGTGCTGTCACTGGTCCTTTTGCATCTAAGGTCCTTGCCTTTTGAAAAACCTAAGCTCACTCCCGAGGAAACAGTACCTGGCAGACCCATGCATCTGCTTCAGTCTCCATACTGTGACCCTCAAATTGCCCAACAGGACCTATTAAAAAAATGGCTAGTCATCTATTCTCTATTCCTCCTACAGGTTAAAAAGCGTATTACAGCCTGACACTGACACCCCTCATGACCTACTTCCTGGAGAATACAGCCACTGGAAAAGACCCCAACTAAAGGACTCCTGCTTCCCTCCTTGGAAAGGATCTTTTCTGGTACTGCTCGCCAGTTCCTGCACAGCTAAATTTGAAGGCATCCGGCCCACCTGAAAGGAGTAACAGGACCAGAATGAACCAGCAAAGCCACAGGTGATCTCACACTTAAGATCTCCCGGCACCAGAAGCAGACAACCTCGGACGTAGATAGACAGCTATCCCAAGACAACGGGCCAGGCCTGTGTAACTTAACTTGATTGCCGCCACTGTTCTCTTTACTGTGGAAATCATGATAGGGGAAGTTAACCAGACTCCTCCACTTATCTGTTTTCTCTCCGGGTTGCCCGTGTCTTCCAGGCAATTGCCAAGCGAGGTAACCTTTCAGACGCTGTATTTGTCATTTAAAACTCCGATCTGTCTGTAAGGTTGGAGACTCCCCGGTCCTTCCTGTGACCTGATTTTCCTTCTATCACCCTTGGTACCACCTTAAGCACCAGCTGAGTCCCTTCGATGTCAGCTACAGTGTTAGACTTTTGCAGCCCGGTCTCTCAGTGCCTTATTTTTACCTTTCTCCGATCATAACTCTCCTTGCCCTGTCTGACACAAATGCCTTGTACACCGTAGTACATTTGTGCCCCCATGTTCTAAATCAGATTTCAGAGGATTTGTCTCTTACCTTCTGAAGATGTTACACTGCTTAGGTTTATTGTTCAGTTACATGGGAAGCGTTGCCAACTAAGTGATGATAAATCTTCTTGGGTTATTTGTATTTTAATAACACTTAATTATTAATATAATTAAGTGTTCTAGAAATTGCGTGAAATTCCTAGAAATCTGATATGTCTTGGTATAAGGTTATCAGTCATAATTCTGGTTATCTTAAAATATTGTCTGTCAATCACAGAAATAACCAAATTTCCTTGTCAATTCCATTATAATGAACTCTCATCAGATCTTTAGCACTGGGCATTTTTAAGTTCTTTTGTCATTGACAGACAGTTATTGTTTTACTCTGACGCTTTTGCAAAAGTGAGATTCATGGCAAGGAACCTACCAAGAACTCTTGACCACCACATGGCTGCCACATCACAAGGGGCCAAACCTTGGGTACGTATTTCACACCTGATGAAGGCTCCACCTGACTTCCGGTCCCGTGCAAAAAAGCTGCAGCCCTCAAACCAATCAAACCGACCAGCCACCATCGAGACAGACAAACAGACTGCTTCCTCCCAACATGTCAGACCAAGAGCGTGTCTGCCTTTCCATTCTGCCTTCCCTCTCTGACCGTCCTTTTCCTAATTCTCACGCTGTGAAGGTTTTTATGATTCTTGCTGTCCATCTTTTTTGCTTTGCTCTGGCCTGGAAAGATAATGCCACTGTTCACATATCTAAGGCCATTGCAAAGCGGGCTAAATCTGAATTATCATGATGCCAGTGATTACACTGTTCTGTCCATCACAGACTGCTCCCTGATTTCCAATGCCTCCGTTTCTCTGGACCAAACAGCCAGCCCACCTTTCTGTTGTGTCCCACTCCCTAACCCTGGGGATCTACTTCCTTGTCTCTGGTTAACACCCCGGGGAACCCTGCATCCAGGCTCTGTACAAAGAAAGGGACGCGAGGCAAGGGAAAGAGAATAAAACACCTGTGCTGTCTACAGACCCTTCAGGTGTACTGGCCTCCACGGCTGTCACCTTTTGGGGCCTGAGCCACAGATGGAAACGGGAATTACCGGGAAGCATTCAGTGGTTCAAAATCTGCTTCCTTTGGTGCAGCCCTACTCCGCCGGCCAGGAGCTGATACAAATGAGGCCACGACCAGGAATCTCTCCTTACCTCTTGAAGATTACAGAATCTGCTGGTAAAGCAACAGCTGCCCAATGAAAATCCCTAGACTCTCTGGCCAGAGTTGTTCTTGAAAATAAGAGAAGCCTCTGGTTGATTATCCTTCAGCTGAACAAGGAGATGCCTGTGCTGTGACCAGCACTGCCTGCTGCACCTGGATCAACACTGCTGGGGAAGGTGAGACTCAGCCACGTGAGACTACTGAACAAACCAGTCACTTTCTCAGGCCAACAAACCAGCCCACGGGATCTTTCTTTGGGGATTATTCTGCCTATAATACTACAGCAGTCGCCGTAGTGTGCTGTATCCTCGCAAAAGCTTTAAATGCAACTTTGCAGCCGCTAGCTACCAAGCAAATGATCTCCCTCAGAACAGAACATACGAAAAGGAACGAAGAGAATGACCGACTAAAAGACCATGAACCCAGTGCCGTGACCTGTGAAGACCACACAGAGATGCAGCAAAAAAAACCCGGTAAGAACTCCACAGCCACAGCTGGGAGTAGCGCTAATGCCTTAAACTTTGATCACTTCTCTTAATTAGGCTCAGAGTCTGATGAAAAGGGGGTAATTGTTAAAAACAAGACAGCAGACCCAAAATGAAGTCGCTTAGGCTAGGTTCCATATCACCAAACCGAGACTTAACTTTATAGTTTCAGCTCCCCCAGAAAGGAGTCTTTAACCAGTCAAATCGGGACTCGCCGGATCGGCACATCTGCCCGACAGACCCCTGCCGTCCCCTAACGGAGAGCGACTGGGCTACAACCAACCCGCTTTTTCAGCTGGTGTAACTTCCTCGTTCCCGCTTCTTTCTGCCTGCATGTCTTTCGTTTTGTACAGCTCCTTTCTATCTGCCTGATTCATGAATCACTGAAATAAAGCCAGTAAGCTCTTTCAAATATACTCAGTCGAATTCTTTTAACACCATCTTCCTCTCAAAGGCTCAGCCCCTGTTTTCCGAATCCCCCATCTGCCAGCTCAGGGCACTTGCAGTAAAAATTGTTCCACGTCTCCCCCCTTTGGGTCAGGATCTTGTCCTACCCTACTTTTCAGGCTGAAGTCTCGCTCTTTCTCTACAGCAAAATGACACTCTGCTGTTCCCCAGACACCCCTGCTTGTTTCTGCATCTGTGCTGCTTTCGCCCTTGAACTGGCCTCCACCCTTCGAGACCCCCTCCTCGCACCCCGGGCCTTGGAAGGGATCCCTCTCCCCTTGGAAACCTTTTAGCATTTTGTTTAAAGTCTCAGGGTATTTAATACATAAGTGCTGCAAGAATCATTTTTTGATTGAATAAACTTACCACTTTTTTTTTTTAGCCACTTCTGAATGGTATCTTTTTTAGTTAACCCTTGAAATGCTTAATTTCTTAAATTCTTAATTTCAATACCTTGTCTCCCCCTGAGGACAGGAACCAGACCAGGTGTTCGTGTTTCTATGCCCGCTGTAGCAGGGCTTTGCAAATTCCAGCGTGCATTTGATTCACCCAGGGACCCTGTTAAAATGCAGATTCGAATTCAGTATGTCCAGGAGTCTACCTCCTAACAGGCTCCTGGGTGATGAGGAGGATGCCGCTCGTCGGTGGATCACAGTTTGGAAAGCAGGGCCCTACGGCACTTGGTAGAGTGCACAGCCGTCACTCAAGAACACTGGGATGACATCGTGGGTGACCAGGTGGTTCTGGATGAGCTCAGCCTGCCCTTGGCGCCTTGAGATACAAACTGCATGCTGCTGTTCTTTTCAACCAACGTTGAGTACTAAAAGTACCCGTAAAAGCTTCTACCAGTATCTGCATGTACGAAGAGCCTGGGAAAGTCTAAAACATACTCTGTGGTCTTTTCTGGGAAGTAGCAGTGGGGATATCTAACACACACACACCTGATGTAAAAACATACATCTAAACATCGACTTCCACATGTATCTAGAAATAAGACATGAAAATAACGGCTTCCACACCACTCAGATGTTTCCTTCTGGAAATTATGATACATACGGCCAAAGGCAACACAGATGCAGCACATCTGAGATCACAGACTCATGAACAGTGAAGGGGGAAGGCTGTAAGAACGAAACATGCCCTTACGATACCTCTATTCATCAGTACTTTGGTGAGTTGGAGACTCAGACCCATCCATAATGGGCGAGTTTTCTGTTGCTTCTCTGAACAAAGGAAAGCAGAAGGAAGAGAAGAGAGGTCAGGTTAAAGAGAGGAGCTGACACAGACACGATGAGTAGCTTATTAATGCACTGGAAGGCCCAGCTGACTATGCACCCAAGCGCTAGTGACACATAACACAGGCCGTGCGTAGCTTTCAGCCCCCTCGCGGGCGTCACAGACTGCTTTAGTTTTGTTAGGAAGGCAGCCAGGCTTTGGCACTTTTGACCCATTTCTTATTATCACATCACAGAGAACAGGTATTGTTCGTTAATGATAATTCAACTCAATCTGATAAAAGAGTTTAAGGACCAGAATTCCTTTTTGTTTCAAATTGGTCTCGAATCCTCACTAGCTGTGTGTGATCAAACATGGGCATGTTCCCAGATCCACTCCAGGGGAAAGGCAGGTGAGGGGTGCTCATAAGTTCCAAAGCCTGCTGTCCGTCAAGTAACAGTCATGTATGGAGATCAGGTGGGCCTGGGTGTGATCCAGAAAATTTGGAGGAGCCAGAAAGACAGCCTGAAATCTGAAGGTCCTTATCCGGGGTGACATGGGTTAGCCAGTGGAGGTACCATAGACACAGAAGACCTGTCATTCTTTTTATGAATCTGTCTTCTTGAAACTCTTGGGCCCTAAGCCCTGCAGCAGCTGCCTGACCACACGAGCTAGAGCTGGTGTGTGGATGGTACGTAAGGTAGTGTTAGAAGAGTGTGTAATAAGGACAGGGGTACCTGATGCCCAACAGACCAGGCAGTGGGAGTGGACACAGAACACCGGCAGTTGGGACCGCAGGGTCTGTTAACTCAAGAGCGTAAGGGGCAGCGTGCAGTGGGTCGGTGATGGGTCGTCAAACCTAAGTGCACCAGCATCCCCTGGAGGGCGCTAACACACAGACCGCCGGGCGCCACCCCGAGTTTCTGATTCAGTGGGTCATGGATGGGCCCGACAAGTGCATTTCTAACAGGACCCCAGGTGATGCTTACGCTGCCAGTCTGGGGTACCACATTTTAAGAACCACTGGCTTGGTGGCAAAAGACGAGGCTTCGGGGTGGGCCCACGGAGTGCAGGGCTGAAATTCCAGCACCGTCCAGCTGTGCGACATTGGGAAGACACTGATTTTTCTCTGAGCCTCATCTATAAAACTAAAAAAATCTGGGCACTTCCCTTGCAGGATTGCAGTGAGGATTATACGAGCTCAGATATGTTAGCAGAAGCTTCCAGCCTTTGAGTACACAGCAATCACTCAATAAATGCGAGCTCCCCTTCTGTCAAGTACCAAGGCTGAATTAAAGCCTGGTTTAAAATCGCTAGAGATGAATCTGCAGCAACAAAACGTGTCTGCCGAGAACAGAGCCTGAAAGGAGGGGCCGGTTCGGGTCCTGTAGTTTCCCTCTGGCGTAACTCACAGCTGTCAGATTTTCCCAGACATCCCCACGGATGCCCCAGCAAACGAGAAGCTGAATAAAGCTGGATAAAGGGACCTCTTATTCCTTTAGCCAATGGATAATGATAGAATGGAACATCCACTTAAGAGTCCACGTCTTAGGAGCAACGGAAGAGGCAGGGATGGTGAGGGGAGCAGGAGGCAGGTCGCGTGTATCTGCCGGACTCTTCTGTACATGAAAACATCCTAAGTGTCCATGAGGTTTACTGTGCTATGTGGTGTTCTCTGCCTACATTTAAAGCTGAAAGAGGAGCCGAGTTTTGTTTCCTCATTTACTGTGGGCCACCTCTTCAGAGTCTCAAGGTACCCGATGGTTCTGAACAAGGGCTTGGCCGGGACTGAGACAGAATCTGAGCCTTCTGCTTTTTCTTCCTTAAGAAGCATCCTGACACCAAGACAGTGGACACACTGCCAAGCGCGCAGAGCAGCAGGCTGGGGCTCAGGCCGGGGGTGGGTGTGGGTGGGTTCCTGAATCTCTCCTTGGCTGGCCTGGGGTGATCGCAACCCAAGTCCAGTGCTGTCTGGAATTCTGGCCACAGAAGCACACTGGGCTCCCTCCACATTTTCAGGACCATCACCAACTTTGAAGGAGAGTAGAGAGAATTCACCCGAATAAAGGGACGGCGCTGGAAAGGAGGGGGTGGAAGGTAACAGCAGTGCCTGGGGCTTCTCCGGAGAGGAAGAAGTTCCCAGCGCTGTACCTCGTTCCCGGTTTCCCAGTACCTCACTCTCCTGCCGATAAACCCTCTGTCACTAGGATCTTACACCTGCTATGCTCTAACTGACGAAGAACGCGGAGGATCACTGCTAACCAAGAAGGGAGGGTCGGAGGTCTGAAGGGGGAACTCACCCGGTCCGCCAGGTTAGGATGTGGTGAGGGCTGCCGGGGGGCGTCGCTCCAACTTCACTGGACGGCGTTGAGCTTCTCTGGCTTTGAGGTAAGGCAGCTGTGTGTAGGTGGCGCAGAAGAGACACAGGTCAGACACGAGGCAGTAAAGGAGCTTCTTTCCAGAGATGCTGCCTGTGGCCCCGTGGCAGGGTCCCGTGGGAAAACGTCCACCCCCCCCCCCCCCCCCCCCGTTTGGCCAATGACGTTTTCTCCCCCCAGCTGTGCAGCTCCATTCTGAGTCAAGCTCACTTGGGGTCCTAGGTCCCCGCTTTGCCACTGGGAAGTGGCCACAGGGATGGCGACAGTCCCCACTGTCCTCGGAGGGGGGCCTGGGCTGGCCTAGCTCAGGGAGGACCTGTTTCCCTGCACAGGGCGTTTCCAGATATGGCCCCAATGTTAAAACCGTTCTTTATTACGAACAGAGAACCTCCAGAAAGGTTCTCTGAGCTTGTGGTCTCTGCCGTTTTAGGCTTGTAATTTACCATGTCAGGACCCCTCAAATGGGGCAGGGCTTTTCAAAGCTCATCCAAACCCAACCACGTGGAGCTTACTGACGTGGGCAGGATTTGTTTAGTTGGGAAAACTCAGTAGGAAGTAAATCCTACTTAAATGCATCCCTCTGCTTCCTTGGGAATGCAATCTTTTTCATTAGGATGCTTAGTCTAAAATACGTTCCAAAAGATTTACCGAATCTCTTAAGGTAAAGCAGATCTAGTAGACAAGTGCTACAGTTTCAACAGAACATAAATACTCCTGACCTGTCCAACCTCAGCTTCTCCTAATAGGGTTACAGGGGACCATGGTCTTTAAATGATATACATAATACATTCATTATTCTCAAAATCCTCCTAGGAAGTTGATGGCATAATTCACTGGGCTGATTTTACAGATGACAGAGAAATCTGGAGAAGGTTCTCGGACCTTGAAGTCCACGGTTCTCTCACGCTTGCGTGAACCATATTTATTCCTGTCTCTGCAACTTGACATTTGGCAATGACATAATAAACGAGTCACTGGGAATCTGGGGAGAAGTTGCAGAAGCCCTGTGAGCTGGCACACCCGGGCAGCCGGCCGGTCCTTCCTTTTCGCCCTGTTCTCCCCAGGCCCCAAGAATCTCCTTCAGTCCCCCAAAGAGGAACCCGCCCCCCGCCCCATTTTCTGTCTATAAGATCACTCTCCCTTCCCTGGATTTCTGCCCGCCCTTAACCTTCTTTCCAGTCGCAAGTCAAATCCTGACTTGGACTTCCTTCCATTTGCTGCTCTCATTTTATCCTGATACTTTAAAAATCATTTTTCATTATGTCTCAGAATCCTCTCCCACTTACTTTCCTACAGTCAGTGTGATGCAGTGTCTTTTAAATTGGCTTTTATCAGGCGATTCATGATCGGGCAAGCATCCCATCTACCAACTAGAAAGGCGCTCCGATCAAGTCTCATCGCCGCATAATCTCCCCCCTTTGTGGGTGCTAAGATATATAAATGAGTTAGCGTCTGCTGGAGCTGAAAACTCCGCAGGGACGTGGAGACTGCTGGACACTTTTTTTTTTTATCATCGTTATTCTTTCCTGGAGACGGAGTGGGAAGGGGATTAACTTAAGGGAGAGAACGGGTTTCTTCCATGTTTCACTTGATTCGGTACTGCTCGACGCCCTGAGTACAAGGATATGCGGTAACCCTCTGATGATGAAAACTTTAAGATGTAACAACGGGGCATCAGAAGCACTTTACAAACATTACTTTGGTCAGAACATAACATCAGTGAAACGAGATCTCGAGGAGCAGTCTCGAGTTTTCCGGAAAGTCACCAGGGGAAGTCACAGGTAGAGC